TTCTCGATGGACTCCAAATATTGGTTTCCTAATAAATTGAAAACTATTAATACTCTCTAGTTATAATTTTTCATAGTCTTTTTATAGAGTTTAGAAATAATTCTCCAGTTTCTCTATTTCACAAAATTTTATAAACTATTTAAAATCGTTTTCAAACTTATTCTTATAATCGATAGTTTACTTTTATAAATTAGTCAGAGGCAAATTATCTGAGGTTTATTATATTTTAGAACCCAATCTTTGTATTTTAGTAAGGTGATCTTAAAATTTCTGAACAGATTCATTCAATACACTTTTTTAAGAGTAAATATATTTTGAAGAATTTACGAGCTCATCTAAATCTTGCTTGAAAATTAATAACCCTTAATTTGCTTTTGCACTCTCCTAAATTTCTTACTATCTTTTAAACTAATTGCCTTAATTTGCAATATTTTTAGAATCAACTAACTAACTGTGAATTGAAAAGGTTCTTAGTTTTGAATAGGAATTGTTATTGATTCTATAATTAAACAATCCCTTAGATTTAGTTGTCATCTAAAAATAAATCTTTTTTGAATACTTTATTTATCCTGCATAATATTTATTGTGACTTGAATATCTAATTAATCATGTTATTTTAAATGCTCTAATCTGCTTTCAATCTCTTTTTAAAACAATGCATCTTTGGATTTCAAATACTCAATTTAAGAATCTTAGATCAAATTTTCTTTGTCATTTAGAATCATTTAATTAATATTTGAAAGTAATTCGTCATTACCTACTTGTTGTAGAGATATTTATTTAAATTTATTCATCTCAAGCGCTTTGCTTATTGGCAGAGAAAATTCTGTGATTAATTTTTCGCTAATATCATTAAGTTATTAATTATAATTTTTTCTCATTATTGCAGTCTATTAATTCAGATTTTTCTATTTCTCTTACCCTTTTAACCTTTAACTCAGAAAATATCCTGTCTTGCTGTTTCTTTGTTTGATTCCATTACTAATTAATTTTTTCAATAGTTCTATATTAGCAATTCGGATGATCACTTATGCAATCAACGCAGACAAACCTATCCTCTATTTTTTTATTTTCACTATCGATGTCAATCATAATGATTTCCTTATTATGTGCAGGGCAAAGTTTATTTAAACTAGGTGTTTTCTTAAATGTTATAAAATTTTACTTAATTATTGTAATTGTGAAGTGACGATAATTCAATCTAGTTATTTTAATTAATTTCATTAATTTTCTATTTAGCATTCTTAAAAGTGTCAATTGTTTAGAAATATGCTGAGCCATTAAACAAAAGGTCAAATTGCTTAGCTATTTCGTCAATAAACTAACTCTCCTATTAAAATTCTAATTAGTTTTCTTAACTTTCACTTGAAAGAAATTCAGACAACTATCTAATTTCCTCTTAAAAATTGTATTATGTTTCAAAATTTTCGAATTAAGATTATTTTTCTTTTTAAATTGTAAATATCCGAGCTTTTATTTGGCTGTATATTTTTTCTAGTGTACTCTCAATACTACATTTAAACTCCATTATTTAATCTAGTATGGTCTTGAAATGATCCAACCTTACTTGGATCTATTTAGTCTTATTTTCTTATCTTTATGTCTTTAGGGATTAAATTCTCTTTTTTGTCTATTCAATTGTAGATATCTTGCTATTATTCATTTTTTCAACTAAGCAAATGCAACACATTTATTAAAAATTACCTTTTTCTGATAAATCTAGATCTACAGCTACTATCTCTCTTTTATGAATTTGGCAAATAATCTCTTCTATCTCAGGCTTTTGTGGTTGTGTTTATGACATAATGATATTCATTTATTTTATTTTTAATAATAAACTTAATACTAACTCCAGGTTTCTTTAAATCAAAAATTGAATTCTATTAATATATAATTTATTTATGGTTATACAAAATTTTGTTCATATTGTAAAATATAAATACAAATAGCATATAATATTAAATGCAAAAAGTAATCAGCACAGGGATAGGTGATTGATTCAGATCTTTAAGAATGATTTTGTGTAAGAAACTTTATTTGGAGAAAAAGTTTAATGAATTCTATTAATCCAAATTTAGAAATATAATTTATTTGGAAAACTTCGTATCTAACAAAATGCGTGAAGAATAATCTAGAAAATATATTCTTTCTTAATTTTAATTAGTGATTACTAATAAAATTACAAATACACTTTAAATTTTAAGTGCAATTTAAGGCTTGACTTCACAATTAAATGGAAAGCAGGTGAAACATCTTCTATCAAAATTTTGCTCTTTGATTAAAATTTATCAATCTCCCTCTAATATAAATTAGATAGATCTTCTTACTTCCAGCTGCTTATATCAGCCTTTTTATATTAATTGAGCTAATTATAGAAGGAAAAAGTTAGCCTCAAAAATTCGAACATCAAAGTATAAAATTAGTTGACTCCTTGATTAATTATTTTTAGAAGTGAAAAATTTCGCACTAATACAAACTGCTCCTTAGTAATCAATTTTTAGTTAATGTCTAAAACCAACTATTTAAGAAAGGTTTGAGCAAAATGTAGTATAATGATTAATTTTGATTTACTTTTAATGAGAATGTGGAAAGTCATCCTGTAATTTAAATATTTTAATTAATTCTAACAATCTATTAGGATTTCATATTTTTTATCAGCATTACTAGAAATAAAAATTTGAATTGGTTAATTTTAATTGTATATGATTATTAATGTTTAATAAAATGTAAAGAATGAATATCAAATAAATGATATTTAATAAATTTCACATTCCTATATTTCTGGTTTATTTTACCCAAATAAAT